TCTTACGTTGGACAATTCTAGCTAGAAGCCACTGTCTGAGGGAATTTCTGAAACTAAAACAAGGCAGGTGAGATCCCCCTGTGAGAAGATGGTAAATGGATCAGGATCTAACAGATCCAGCACCGAGACTTTCATTGATACTCTCTACTAAAGCTGATGTGTAAAATGTACCTGCCAATTGCTCTAAATATATATTTAGGGGACCAGCAGGTGGCATGGTGATTAAGGGCACTGGATTCTGGCTGACTGCAGTTTAAGGCCCAGACCTGGTGGCTTGCTTTCTCACTTTCTTTCTCTCTCAGTTCCTCTCTGGCCAAAATTAAAAATAAATAAATAAAGTTAAATAAATAATTATTTTGCATATATATGTATATATATATATATTTAGATCTGAGCCAGGAGAGCAGAGGGAATAGAACCTTGCAATGTGAATGGCTGGGTGAAGAGTAAAGTTGTTGCAGGTAATGATCCCCACGCAGAAGCCTGGAAGGCAAGAGCATGACTTATTTTCCTGGCTTGTTTGTAAACTCGTTGAGTTCATAGACTTTATCTAGGACTTTCCTGTTTGTCTAAGTGGGCACAGAGTGTGGAAGGAAAGCCACTTTGTACCAAGTTCTGTAGGCAGTGTGTGACCATTGTCACTACCCCACCCCCAGTCCAGGAGTCAATCTGTGGTTAAAAAAAAGAACTCTTGGGGGGGCCAGCAGGTGGCATGCTGGTTGAGACACTAGACTCCCACATGGCTGGTCGCGGTTCAAGTCCTGGATCTGGTGGCTTGCTTTCTCACTTTCTCTCTTCTCTGTCTCTGTCTCTCTCTGGTGAGTACACGTGCCAATAACAAATTAAAATAATAATTACTCTTTTTTTCTTTGGAGAGGTTTTTGCACAGGGTGCATGCGCTCACCAGAGAGAGACAGAGAGACAGAAAGCAAAAAATCACCCCCCCCCCCACGGGGGATGGGCACGCGCGCATCTCTTTTTCCTCCATTCTCCTCTCAGGATCTTGGGCATGCACACACACACACCCGGCTTGAGTTTAAGCCACCAGGTCTAGGACTCAAACCATGGTTGACTACATGAGAGTCCAGTGACATAGTCATTATGCCAACTTCTGGTCCCCAAAATAATAATTATTATTAAAATTAAATAATAAAAAAGAAGGACTCTTGGGAAGAAACCCTGGAGCAGTGCAGACCTGGCAGGAACTCTTTGCTTCAAGTCTGGGGGATCAAAGACACTGTGAAAAGAATACTGAACTTGGGGGCTGACAGGTGGCATTGTTAAGTTGTTGGACTCCCACATGACTGGCCATGATTTGAGTCTTGGACCTAGTGGCTTGCTTTCTAGCTCTCCCTCTCCCTCTGTCTCTGGTCAAACTGAATAATAACAAGTAAAATTAAAAATAATTCTTTAAAAAAAATACTGAGCTTGGTCCAAAGGTTTGAGTGTGAGTTTTTCTTATGTGTGAACTTACTCAAGATTTTCTCCTTCTTAAGCTTCAGTGTTCTCATCTACAAAATGTGAATAACAGCAATATCTATTTCACAGACCTGTCTAGAAGATTAAAGGGGATAATGGATATAGAAGATTAAATGCCACTTCTTTGATTAAATTCCTCAGAATCCCCTCCATTGTTTTTAATGTTCAGACTCCTCCACCAGAAATATAAGACTCTTTAGGATGTGGCTTCTGCCTACTTATAAAATATCAGTTCATTTTTATTTTTGCCATAGGGCACACATGCTCAGTAGAGAGACAACGAAAGTGAGAAAGCAATACCCCCAGGGGAAGGTCATGCCACAATTCCTTCTTCTCCATTTTCCTCTTGCGATTTTGGGCATGTACACATACACATGCGCTTGGCATATTTTTATTTTTTTGAGACAGAGAGAAACAGAAAGTGAGAAATCACCCCTAGTGGGGGGCAGGGAATGACCACACTGCAACTCCTCCTATGTCCTCCTCTTTGGATTTTGGGCATGCACACACACACGCCCAGCATGTTTTAAACCTCTGAGTCTGGAACTCAAACCGTGATCTGCCATGTGGGAGTCCAGTGACATAACCGGTATGCCATCTGCAGTTCCCATCTTGGTATGTTTTTCAAGACACTGGATTTGAGACTTGAAGTACGCAGTCAGCCATGTGGGATCCAGTGCCTTACCCACTATGCCACCTATTGGTCCTTGCCTACTTCTTCTTTTTAATATATTCTTTTTTATTCTTTCTTTCTTTTTTATTTTTTTTAACTTCTATTACTCTGTTTGTCACTAGTCAGACTGACACACTGCAATTACTAGAACTTTGCTCTCTCCTGGGCTTCACAAATATAGCTCATTCTGTCTGGAGCATGCTGTTTCTGGTATACCCTCCCTGGCTAATTCCTGTCCTTTCTTCAAAGCTCAGTTTATGGGGCACTTACAGGAAGCCTTGGTACTGTCACTCTTATGTGGGCAAGGGGTCCTTTCTTGTTTTCAGGGCATCCTCTGTATCCTTCAATCCTAGCACCTTCAGCAGGGGATTGGAACCACAGACTCATACTGTCTTTGTTATGAGATTGCAGATCTTGCAGGGCGGGGGCCTTCCTATTTTTCTGTCTCTAGAGTCTTTCAGGGCCTGATATACAGTTGACCTCCAGAGATGGCAGCTGAGTGAAGAGTGAATGAATGAATGGTGGTGCAAACTTAAGGGGTCCATGATGAGGAACACTTTCTGTATTTTCTTCGTTAAGGATAAACATTCTTTAAAAAATTTAATATATCTGTCATCTCACAGTTCTACTATAGTAATTATTTTACTATAGATGTATCTTATAATATTGTATACTGTGCCTTAAATGTACACAATAGGGCCAGCTGGTGGCATCATTAAGACAGATGTACCCCACATGGGTGACTATGTTGTTCAAGTCTAGTACCCAGTGACCTGAAAAACACCAGGGCACAAGGGCATGCATGTCCAAAATTATGAAAAGAAGAGAGAGATGGAGAAGGGATTGCAGGATGACTATTCCCCACAGGAGGTACCTTTTCACTTTCCTTCTCTCTATGTCTTTGGTGAGTGTACATGCCTTCCAGCAAATTTAAAAATATATACATAATAAAATTTATTTAAAAATAAAACAAAAACTGGTGCCAGCCAGTGGTATGGGGGTTAAAGTGACTGGATCCCATATGGTCAACTGTGCAGTTCAAGTCCAGGATCCAGAGGCTTAAAAAACACACTAGGCGTATGTGTGTGTATGCCCCAAATCTTAAGAGCAGAATGGAAGGGAAGGGATTGTGGTGTAGACATCTCCCTGGGGGTGGGATGGGGTGCTTCTTACTTTCTCTCTGTTGGAGAGGCACATGTGCCCTACAGTGAATTTAAAAATAAAAAAAATTTAAAAAAAAGAAAACCAATCTAGAGCTCCTTCCTTTTCCCCTAGCACATTTTTCTGCTATTGCATATGTTCATTTCCTCTGGGTTGCATGCCTTGGTATATATGATAAACTATCAAATGCTTTTGTCATGAAAGAATTTTTTATTCCCTTAGCATTGCTTGTTTTGACCCCTTTAAAGGGTTCTGTGACCCTCTCTATCTTGAATGAGGGCACAGTTATTGTAGGTACAATGAGGAGGTATGATCTCATGCCTTTTTTCCCCTCTGATCTGAAGCTGTTGATCCCAATCTGCTCTTCCTCTGATTCCTGATCACAGTGAATGACATCACCATGAGACCACTTGTCTAAGCAGGAAACTTAGAATCCACTCCAGACTTTTCTCTCTGCTAGCCTGTCCCACTCAAATTGATTACCAGCTCTTGTCCAGACTACCCCTAAGTATCTCTAGGATCTCTTCACTTACTTACATCTCATGTCCAGGGCATTATGATTGCTCACCAGAATGATTGCATTGGACACCTAATTGGTCTCCCTGCTTTAGGCACTCTTATTTTCATGTATTCTTGATTCAGCAGCTGGAAAATATGTGCGAATATGACCTTACTCCTCTCTTTTAAAGTCTTCCTTGCGTGGTTCTGGCTTCATTCAACATAAAGCCCAAACTCTAACGTATTGTATTTTAGTCCCTTACTTTTCTGGGGTCATCTCTTACCACTCTGTCATTGAGGATCTATTCCAAACACTGCATTACTTGTCCTACAACCAGTCTGGAAAGCACTTTAGCTCTTCATCACTAGGTCAACTTCTCACCAACTACAGATTGGCTCAGATGTCGTGCCCTCCAGGAAGGTGTTACTGCTGGCTCTCGCACCTTTCCCAGCCCCTTCTGCTACTTAGGCCTCTTTAGGCCATACAGCATTAGGTTAAACCACTGTTGGGTTACCAGATTTCGAATTCTACATTGGTCATTAGCTATATGGCCTAGAGTAGTGACTTCTGTCTTCTCAGCTGCAACATAGGGAAAATATTTCATCAGTCTGCAGTGAAAATTAAATGAGGTGATGTAATGTACTTGATAATTAAGAGTTAGCTGTTACTTTAATACTAAACAGTAAAATTCTATTTTCCCGCCCCACTATATTCTAGGGTCAGGATTATGCGTGACTTCGTTTTAGTGCACCTTCCGCCCGCCCCCCCCCCTCACCTCCCCCCCCCCCCCCCCCCCCTGGTATGACTGTTTTCTAGGCGGCAAGGTAGCCCTAACAAATCAGAAGGCGATCAGGTACCAAGGCTCGTCACGACTTTCAGCCCGGCGCTCACCAACTCCGAACGCCCCCAGGTGGCTCAATCTCTCTGCGGCAAAAGCGAAGCAAACTAGGTCATACCATTCC